CTCACACCTTTATTTGGACATTGAGCGATACTGAATATCTTCCTACAGCAGTTCCTGTATTTCACACTTTAGCTTTTCCAATGGAATAAATTAATAATAATACAAAAATAAAGGCAATTGCGACTTTTTATCTCGCACTTCTGACATTATTTCTCCCTCTTTTGACTTTTTCTCTCTGGATTCTCAGTTTATGTCTCACAACTGTTTCTGTAACGAAGCAGAGTTGTGTGTTTATATCTTCCAATTCTTAAAAGATGCTCTTTAGGATAATAATGTGTTTATTAAATAATAATAATAATATGGAATGCACCTGAAACATAAGATTGGTGTACAGATTTGTGCATTAATTACTGTATATACAGCTGTATAAATAAAAATCTGTATATGTATTTACATAATACTTGAGAGAGAGGCAATAATTAGTTATTAAATTAATTACAGAAGACAGGTGGCAACATAAAGGACCTTTAGCTTGATCTTATATATATATATACATGTCTTCTTTATCAACTGTTTACATTGAATGAACCAAGACTTCAACTCATTGCTATTATGCAGCTATTTTCTCCAACACAACACTATTAAACACAAGAGTAACCCGAAATATTAAGCAAAGAGATCATTAGAGTCATTTACAGTAATTATAGACAGGGGTCTGTGGAGATACAAGATATAAAAATACCTTTAAATAATAAACAGTTAATGTCAACAGTGATTAGTTAATGCTAAACTAATGAGGAAGTTTTGCTGTTTACTGTAAGCTAAACTGTAAACTAAAGGAGACCTTTAATTAAACCTCGTGATAATCACTGATAAACCAAACCGATGATGACGAATAACTGAATAAAGTATATTTTAAAGTCAAAATAACCTTTCGGTCTCGTAAACCAATGAAGTTTAAAGTCAAACCCAACATTGGCGGAGGAAAACCTGAGGGAAAACCTGCTTCAGTGTCAATAAGAGACGCGGTCACAGTTCATAACTGCTCTCATCGCTATAAAACATGATCATAAAGCACACCAATCTGTATTTCATCTGTCTGTCAGATTATTGTACAGAAGAATCGCCTGTACTCACCATACTGTAAGCTTTATGATCATCATCCACCGTCCGAGCGATCGCCACTGATAATAACTGTAGCCTCATGAATATTAATTACGTCACGTGGCGCGCGTCAAGCGGGCTTCACCGATTGGCGAAACTCCTGACGCTGGTGGGCGGGCGCTACGCAGATCGCGAATGAACGCGACTGTGTTAAAGGGGTTGGCGTAATGAATATTAATGAGGTTAGGTGACTGGACGCTTCAGGAAATTTATGAAAACGTCAGCGCGACGTAATTAATATTCATTGTAATTTCTTCGGTTCAGTCGTTTTTCGGTTTGGTTTTAGTCTTTTAGCACAGACATACTGCTACATATTGTTCGATAATACACGGAAAACTAAAAAGTCTGATTTCCTGATTGTTTGATATTTTATATTATGTTCCTGTAGTAGTTATTTTCCATGAGTGTACAGAATACAAATATATAATCTTTGTTTATATCTTACATTGTGAATACCTAAAACCAAATTAAGGCTGCACCACTAGGTAAAATGTATTTATTTATTTATTTATATTTTTACTTTACTTTTGTTTTATTTTATTTGTTTTGTTTTATTTATTTTGTTTTGAAACTTGTTTTTGAGGATTTTAATGGTTAGAATGAGGTTCAATGGAAGATTCAGAAATTCAGATGTTTATCTGTTTCAGAACTTTCCCAGGCCTTTTTTACTTAAATGTAAATCTTTTTACCCACTGCATAGAAAACCTGGAAAAAAGATGTACTTTTAAGCCATTTAGCAGACACTGATCCTGAGGGATGTACAGAATGTTCCTTGGTTTCTTGAGCGAAGCTGCCATGGATTCATCTAATTACTGTTGAATCCCATAAAATACACTGAGAAATCACGTCCAGCCCATCATTCACTCAGCCCCTCTGTTCTCTCACATCTGATATCAGACCATCCTTCACACACAGGTGTGTTGTTTATGACCTGAGCTCTTCAAATGCTCCAAACACTCGAAAAACTGGTCTAACAAGAGCTTTGAGCTCACGAGAATCTGTGATGAGCAGCAAGCCAGCAGATTCCAGACGTGCCTGGCCTCTTTAGAGCAGCATGCAGTCTTCTAGAAGCCTCTGGGATTTTCTGGTTCTTGGAGCAGATCTCTGTGAGAAACTGGACCAGGAAGGTCACGTACATTTACAAACGATCCGCTCTTCCCTCGTGCACCAGCCGTGTTGAAGTGCTGGTGAGCTCAGAGCAGAGACAGAAGCGAGACCGGCTCTTCATCATCACTATGTCTTGAGTTTCGCTCTTGTAAACAGTGCGGGTTAACAGACTGTGAGAGATCAGACAATGGAATGTTCTGGAATGTCCAGGAATGTCCTGATGTGGGCAAACTAAAGCTATTGTTCATTGTTGTTCCCACCGCAATCAGTCTCCCACTGTTCCAGCGGACATCAGCTAGTGTTTATCAGCTATCAGCAGACTGTGCAGAGAGTGTGAGGTGTATTGTTATATGATGACATATATAGCATGTATGTTGTTGTGTGTGATCTGTAATGCTTGTACCCAGAGAAAGTTCTCTGAAAGTTATGAACAAACATTATTAGTATCAAGTAACATTATTAGAATGTTCGTTCTGTGTTATTAGAATTATTAGAATGTTCGTAATCACGTGTTGCTACTTGTTTTGAGAAAAAGACATGTTTAGAGAAAACTCAAATGTAACATTCCCATAATGTTTGCAAAATGATCAAATGGAATGTTCCCTTAACAAACAAACAAACAAAGATTTTAAAAACTGAATGTTCAGAAATAACATTTTCATGAATTTAATGGGAACGTTAGTAAAACATTCTAAGAACATATATTTTTGTGAGCTGGTTATAAAAATAAAAGGAAAATAGGTTTGTATCTATGCTGTAGGATTTACTTTGAAACAATTTTCATTTAGATTTTGCTAGAAAATTTCACAAGTCATTACAAAGAAATGGCAAGTAACATATTGAACTAAACTTGACTGAAAGACTGAAATTGTATGTTTTTGTAGAATGTATTCCAATCTTTATTCTTCTGTACTCCATCTTTAAAAAATAAATTTTTTGGAGTTTATACTAAAAGTTTATTTATTTAGTCAACTAAATAAAGAGGAGCACACAGACATAGAGCTAATAAACATCAATAAAAGCCAAAAAATGTGTTCAACTTATATTATTTGGTTGGTTTTAGGGGGTAAATATTGTTTAAATCTTTTAATATTCACATTTCTTCCAGAGTAAAGTCCATTTGCATATGAAAAATCTGTCCTGTTTGCAATCCAGTCTGAGAGACCTGATCTTTTACACATCTTGGGTTTGTCCCATATGTCTCATTGAAGCTCATGAATGAAGCTCATTTGTGCGTCTGATGTTTATCTAGACAGAGGAAACAGTGCTGGATCGATTTAGCCAATGACTTGATATTTCTTTCACGTGTCAGTGTTTGCGAGACTTACTCCTGGGATGATTTGCATTGCAGTGAGAAACAGTCATCACACTCAAAACAGGAGCTCATGGAGGTTTCTTTTGATTTGTTTGAACATGTTCCAGTGTGCAATCCAGAAATATTAACATAAATGAATGTTTTCTGCCATTTAGTCGCATGCAAATACCCCGTGGGTTAGGCAATGCAAATCTAATATCTGTGCGCTAGTTCCAGGTTTCAGAGTTCAGGCTCAGAATTGCCTCCAGATTTGACCGCAGACGTCTGCATGAACTGCTGCTCTGCTTGGAAACTATGAGAGCAATGTCAGATCATAGAAAATACTCTGATGATGATGATGTGGCTTTGATGTGACTTTAGGTCATGCATGATAGTTGAAAAGAGACTAGTACAAGAACCCAATCCTAACCTGCTTCTGAAGGACATCATCTCTCTGTTCTGTATCAGGTCATGAAGGTCCTGCTGTGATGCAGAACTGGGTTCAGACGGGGTTTACAGCACGCTGTGTTTAAAGTAACCCATCAGAAGGCAAACTGTCACTCATCTAACTGATGTGGAACATTGTGTCCTACTGGCCTCTGGCAGAAACACTGGCAGCTCCTGTCCTAGAACATGCAGTGAAATCCTCAAATCTAGATTTAGTAAAGTATAAATGCACTGCCAAAAGGCTCTGTCAAATGCATAAAAGTGAATGTAAAACATGGTACTGACAAGATGCTCGATGGTATCTCTGCATTATGCTCATCACATAAAAATCATGTGATTTTAGATGACTTGGAAGGTCATATGAACTATTTTCATGATACTTTTTTTGTTCTATTTTTAGCTGGACAGTCCGAGTCCTTTTATCTTCAATATAAGGAAAGAAAACTGGTGTTTTCTGCATCATTTCTTATTTTTTCATACAGGTTTTGGAAGGACAGAGTAAGTAAATTAGTAACAAGCTAAATGATTTTTTACTTGAATATTTACTTACTACACTCAGTAGAAAGTAGGTGCTCAGTGACACAATATTATTTTTTTTGTCTTTTAGTCTGTGCTTCCATCTAGTGGGCACCATTAAAACTCATCTGTTCATTTGTCTGAGTTTTTTATACTATTGTGAGCATTTACTATCATTGTGTTTTGTATCAGTGTTAATGTTGTTGTTGCATATAATAATAATAATAATAATATATCTAACAAGTACACACATACACAAGAAAGAAGAACAATCTTAATCTGTAAGACTGCATGTAAGAGAAGAGAGAAAGAAAGAATAAATAATAAACACACACATACTGTATAAACAACTAAACAATAGTTCAAATGATCGTCCTTCTTCCTTCGGACAACAGCAAGGACTACAGTGAGGGAAGAAAACAATTCCTCCATGAAATCTAACAGTATGTCATTTGTTATTGTTGTAACGAAGGAGGTGCAGAACGGGTGTGACGTAGATCTCAGTGTTGTTTCGTCATCGGCGAGAGCGAGCGCTCAGTGATGGATCAGAATCAGAGCAGCGCAGCGGGCGTCGCTTATAATCAGGATTTAACACACAAGGTAATCATTATTGATCAGTCAATCAACCAACCGCTGAATGTTTGTTTCCTGGTGTTGATATTTCTGTCATCTGTTTGAGGAGATGAGAATATGGGTTGACGTGATGTTCATTCATGTGCTTTGTTTTTGTGATATTTTGTTTCATGTATTCTTATTTGATGGTGATTACAGTGTGTTATGATGTGTTGATGGTAATTATAGTATGTTGTATAGTATAGTTATAGTATATGGTGTAGTTATGGTGTCTGATAGTGTTGATTATAGTGTGCTATATGATATGTGATTATGGTGATTATAATGTGTTATTATGTGATGATGGTGATTATAGTATGTTATATGATATGTGATTATGGTGATTATAGTTTGTTGTGATATGTGATTGTGGTGATTACAGTGTGTTATGATGTGATGTGATTATATTGTGCTATGTGATGATGGTGATTTATGGTATGTGATGATGGTGAATACAGTGTATTATGATAACTGATGGTCACAACTGTAGTGTGTTATGATATGTGATGACAGTGTTGTGATGTGACTATATTGTGTTATGTGATGATTATAGTATGTTATGGAATGTGATGATGGTGATTATAGTGTTATTATGTGATTATAGTGTGTTATGATGTGATTTACATTGTATATGTGATGATGGTGATGGATTATAGCATGTTATGGTTTTATAATGTGATTATATTGTATTATGTGATGATAATAGTATGTTATGGTATGTGATGGTGATTATAGAGTGTTATGATGTGATTATATTGTGTTATGTGATTATTATAGTATGTTATGGTATGTGACAGTGATTATAGAGTGTTATGATGTAATTTACATTGTATATGTGATGATGGTGATTGATTATAGCATGTTATGGTTTTATAATGTGATTATATTGTGTTATGTGATGATAATAGTATGTTATGGTATGTGATGGTGATTATAGAGTGTTATGATGTGATTATATTGTGTTATGTGATGATTATAGTATGTTATGGTATGTGACAGTGATTATAGAGTGTTATGATGTAATTTACATTGTATATGTGATGATGGTGATTGATTATAGTATGTTATGGTTTTATAATGTGATTATATTGTGTATTGTGATGATAATAGTATGTTATGATGTGATTATAGTGTGTTATGATGTGATTATATTGTGTTATGTGATGATTATAGTATGTTATGGTATGTGATGGTGATTATAGAGTGTTATGATGTGATTTACATTGTATATGTGATGATGGTGATCGATTGTGTTGATGTGATTAGTGTGTTATGATGATGTGATTATATTGTGTTATGTGATTATTACAGAATGTTATAGTATGTGATGATGGTGAATACATTGTGTTATGATATGTCATGGTAGTAATAACAGTGTGTTATGATGTGATGGTGATTATATTGTGTTATGTGATGATGATCATCTTATCTCTTTCTCATTAGGGTCAGGTTGCGCGCAGATTAGAGCTGCAGTGGTTTATGTACAGCACACACACACACACACACACACTAGAGGCTGTTTAATTTGTGTGTGTGTTTTAGCCTTGGGTCTCTGGATGGGTTTGTTATTCTCTGTATTCAAGTGCCTGTTACATAACTGAATAAAGCTGACACAAGTCTTTGCTCTAAATAAAGACAGAGTCACAGTGGACTCTTGTGTTTCATTCATCCTTTATTTCAAATCTCAAGAATTGATCTTCCATAAGAGACAGTTTCCTGACACTCACAGTAAAGCTAAAATATCTGACTGAAAGTCGAATTCATGCTTTTTCCTGATGAGTGATGAATTCCACAGCGTCTGTGTTTCTTCCGCCTAATTACTTCCTGTTGGGAGGGGGGGGTTGTTATGGCAACAACACACCTCCATCAGCACCAGCACTTATCTGTGACTTCACATAGAGACACACTAATTATAAAACAGTCAAGACGGTTCTGTTAACGTATTCTGCATGCTTCTAATAATGCACGTCCCTAATTTTTTCATCTTCCCTCTGTCTTGTCATCTTGTAGACCATCCTGGTGGGAGACAGTGGAGTGGGAAAGACGTCTCTACTGGTTCAGTTTGATCAAGGCAAATTTATCCCTGGATCTTTTTCTGCAACAGTGGGAATCGGATTTACGGTAATTCACCCTGTAAATGAGTAATATCAGCCTTTCACCAGTGGATAAAGAAATGGATGTGCTTTCTAATGCTGTATGATGTGATCCACATCCACGGCTTCTCTGTTGGCAGAATAAAGTCCTTACAGTGGATGAGCTGAAGGTGAGATTACAGGTGAGTGACGCTGATTCTGATTCTTGAGAATCATACAGTAAGATGTTAATGAATCAGCTGATACAGGAGAGAAATCAGATCATTATGACGGATGAATGTCAATGACCTTCTGTCTCAGATCTGGGATACAGCGGGACAGGAGAGGTTTCGGAGCGTCACACACGCGTATTACAGAGACGCTCAGGGTGAGAAATGATTTCTATTTAATTGTATTTCTTGCTGAGCAAAACTTTTCTCTATTGGGCGGACATTTCGGCCAGCTGAGCAAAAACATTCTTTATACCAGACTTGTACAGCGCGCACACACACACACACACACACACACACACACACACACACAC